TATCTGGCGGAAATGGCAAAGATTTCGGCCTTCTTAAAGCAACAAACGCAAGAGAAGTTTCTTGCTGTTTGGGACAAATGGATAAAATTTATACAATTTAGATTGGGTATACAAAAATATTATATAGTTTTTTCATAAGTTTTATTTTCATATATATTATAGATAATCTTTTTATATATATAAATATAAAGTTTTTAATTTAATTTTTATTTTTATTTCTTAAGCCTATATTCTGCTCTGGGAAGCTCATGGGGGGGGAAGGGAGGGGGGGTTTGGGAGGGGTGGGGGTTTTTTTTTATATATATATGTATTGTTTAGTTTTATTTTTTTGTATATGTTGTTTCTTGTTTTGTATCCTTTTTTCTTTTTTGTAAAATTTATAAAACTTTTAATAAAAAAAAAAATAGTGACTTTGAAACAAGGAGGGAAAACAGTTAATGCCATTATTTTCATAATAATAATAATAATAATAATAATAATAATAATAATAATAATAATAACCCCAGTGAGGCACTACCTTGACGTGGTTGTGGGGCTTGTGTACTCTGAGGAAGATGAGAGCTATGCCAGAGGTTCAACCATACTGGACAGGTCTCATCAGAGGAGTCAGACAAAGAGTGTCTCTCCCATAAAAACTATGGTGAGACGTAAATTTCAGAATGCCATACCGGCTCGGATGTCGCCCGGGTTAACAAGGTCCGCGCTAGATATTGGAGTTCCTGGATATCTGGTGAAAAATGGTTACAGGACTCAGGACTGTTGGCTGAGCAACCAGGGCCAGCAGCTGCAGAACTACTGGAAGAAAAGGTGTTTACCCGTCGCAGATACACAGTGATTGAAAACAAAGAAATAATTATCTGTTACTACAGATCAAGTCCAACAAGAAGAGGATATCTAAAACGAATGCACCAGTTCTGGAAAGAACACCATCCAGAATCAGAAATAACAGAACAGAGACTAGCAGATCAACGCCGATTTATAACACAAAATAAAGTATTCACAGAAACAGAATTGGACAAACTGCAAAGGTTTACCCAGGGCAAAGAAATCAAAGCCTTACCAGAAGTAATTCAGAATGTAGAGGCAAACCAGGGGGAGTTGGCAGTGAAGGAATCCAGCAGAGATATACAATTGTTCTCATTTGGAAACCAGGCACCTCTTCCTCAGGAAGAACAAACCCCTCTAACTAAAGAAATAAAAGAATTGAAACAAAGAATAACTGAGCATCTAGAACAGCACAAAAACAACAGAATAAGGCTACCTGCATTGAAGCTTGTTCCAAAGAAACAGCTAGCACAAGCATTAAAAGATGCAAATACTTCAATAGCAAGTATAAGCACCAATTCACTGCAAGAAACAAACCAACTAATGTACAGCACAGCTGCAGTTATAACAGAATACCTGGGATGTAAAATCAACAAAAAGAAAACAAACAAACAGTGCACCAGAAAAATGGAAGGTTAAGACTAGAAAATAAGATCAGCAAGTTAAGATCACATGCAAGCAAGCTAGAACAGATGAAAGAAAAGAAGCTGAAGAACAAGAAGACCAAAGAATACCTAATCAAGAAATACCACTTAGAAACAAGGAAGATCAAGGAAGCACTGGAAATAATAAAGCAACAAATAACAGCTATAGCCAGGAAAATCAGTAGATATGAAGCTCGAATTGCAAACTTATAGGCAGAACCTCCAATTTCAATCCAATCAGAACGTTTTCAATAACCAATCCATCAATGGAGACAGACTGCAAAGAACAGTCATTACCGGTGACAATGTAAGAAACAGTAGCAACTTCTGGAAGCATGATATGGGTAACCCAAATGACCAATACAACAAGGATGCAGCTTGGTTAAAGGAGGTTGGATGCAAATAAGAACATAAGTTGAATTGAAGAACTAGTAATAACAACAAAAATGGTAGAAAAAAGAGCAAAGAAAATCAAAATTGGTCAGCACCAGGTGAAGATGAACTGCATGGGTTTTGGTTGAAACATCTAACTGTTATACACCCACTCATTTCCAAGCAGTTCAACAATATACTACAAGGAGGAGAAATTGAAAAGTGGCTAACAACTGGGAAAACCTACCTAATAATAAAAAATCCAGCAAAAGGGGCAACACCAGGCAACTACAGGCCAATTACCTGTTTACCAACAACTTTCAAATTACTAACTGGTGTGGTAGCTGATGCATACAACAGCATCTAGTTGAAAACAATCTCTTTCCACCTGAGCAGAAAGGAAACCGCCCCAATAGCAGAGGAACAAAAGATCAACTCCTAATAGACAAAATGATCTTGGAAAACTGCAAGAGAAGGAAGACCAACCTGAATGTTGCATGGATTGACTACAAAAAGTCATTTGACTCTCTGCCACATGATTTGATAATAAAGTGCCTAGAAATAACAGGAGTCAGTAGAAACATCAGAAAATTTGTGCAAAGATCGATGGCACAATGGAAGACACAGTTGCAGAATCATTGTGAAAAAAGCTGGGAGAGGTATATCAAGAGAGGAATATTCAAGGAGGAAATTCATTATCACCATTAACTATTTGTTATTGGCACTGTTTCCTACTGGCAACAATACTGAATAACTCAGACATGGTTATCAAACATCAAAACATCTGCTAGACTATCCCACCTCCTTTACATGGATATCTGAACTGTATGAAAACATCATCTGAATAGAATCGCTGCTCAACACTGTCCGTATATTACCAGATATTGTTATGGAGTTTGGCTTGGACAAATGTGCCACACTTCCTATCAAACAAGGAAAAGTAGTGAAAACTGAAGGAATCAAGATGCCCCACGAAAATAACATTAAGAGTCTGGATGAGGAAGAGTACTACAAATACTTGGGTATCCTTCAAGCTGACAACATCAAGCACACTGAAGTCAAGAACAAGATTAGAGGTGAATACATCAAGAGACTGAAGAAGATCTTAAAATCAAACGTCAATGGAGGAAAATACCATAAAAGGGCAATCAACAACTGGGCAAATCCATTTCATTAGGTAGCACAGCTGGAATAGTGGACTGGCCTCCAGACAGGAATAAAGAGCAATGATAGGCAGACCAGAAAATATACCAATGAATCACTGCACGCCTCCTTCGATCCACTGCATTGACCATTGATAGACTTTATCTACCAAGCAAAATAGGTGGGCGTGGAATGCTACATAAAGTACATCAGATGGTTTGAAGAAGAAAAAATGACTTGGCGAATACTGAAGAACAATGATGAGTGCACTGAAATTAGTGGATCAGGAAGGCTTACTAACTACTGGAGAGACCAAACTGGCCTACACGAAAGACCAAATGAAGAACAGAATAGAGGCAGGGGAAGACAAAGCACTACATGGCCAATACATGAAAAAAATAGCTGGGAAAGCAGATAATAATAAAACCTGGCAATGGCTAAGAGCAGGAAAATTGAAGAAAGAGACCGAGGAACTAATTCTGGCTGCACAAGACCAAGCCTTAAGGACACATGCATACAAAGTCAAAATTGAGAAGACAGCAACAGCAGTAAGTGCCGCCTTGCAAAGACTCTGAAAGAAACAGTGGACCACTTGGTAGACGGTTTTCAAGAAGATTGCACGACTTTTACAAGCAGCGCATGACAAATAGCTAACAATGGTTGGCATTTGGAATCTGCAAAAAATATCATTGCCTGTAAGCAAAAACTGGTGGGATCATAAAATAGAGAAAGTCATAGAAAATGATCAAATTAAACTGCTCTGGGATTTCAGAATTCAAACAGACAAGCACCTGTAACGTAACACCCCAGACTTAACAATTGTCGATAAGAAAGACAAAAAAGTCTGGATAGTGGACGTGTCAGTGCCTGGAGATAGCAGAATAGAAGAGAAAGAACTGGAGAAGATAACAACATACAAAGACCTACAAATAGAAATAGAAAGACTGTGGCAAAAGCAAGCAAGGGTAGTACCAATAGTAATAGGCTCCTTAGGTGCAATCCCAAAACAACTGGAGCACCACTTGAACACCATTGGCATTGACCAATTTGCTATTAGTCAATTGCAAAAGGCGGCCTTATTAGGAACTGCTTCCATCCTGCGACGATACCTGTAATACCATCAAACATCCACATCTGCCTATCCCAGGTCCTGGGTAAGGACTCGATAGGTAGACAAAATGCCAAATCCAGTCTGAACATCTGGCTGACTGTGCGATGAATGATAATAATAATAATTCTATTTTGCCTAATTAAATATATTCTCTATTGGCTGCTCCCTCCTCCTTCTTATTGTGCAATATTGTTTCCCTAAATATATGCAGAATATTATGCACAAATAATCAAACAGCTGATATAGTTGCACAGAATTCAGAAAGATCATGGATGGAATCCAACAGCATCTATGCTTGCTTTCCATGCAACATCCTGCAATCTACAAAAAGGATCAAGGGACATGAAGAGACCTGAAGGAAGAAGTCTAATTCTTTCTTTCTCAAAAGGTTTCATTCTCTCCACCTTCTCTGAACTATGCTTTTTTGTTTTTTTTTAATCTCCTGACACCTTTAATAAGCCTTCATGTACCAAACACACTGGCTCTTTTTTTTTTAGTTTTTATTTTTCCTTTTTTCACTGTACAACAAAAATAAAACTGAAAAATGCATTTTTCCCCTTAACAAAACAAAATAATATCTCATATATATTATTTAAATTTATTTACATCAGTAATCATGTCTTTTTCTTTCTTTGTTCTAGCCAATCATAACATTTGTTCCATATTTCATAAAATTCTGTTGCCTCCTTGTCTTTTAATTCTAGCGTAAGTTTATTCATTTCCGCACATTCGAGAATTTTGTATATAATCATATCGTTTGTAGGTATGTTTTCACCCTTCCAACACTGAGCGTATACTATGCGGGCTGCTGTCAATATATGTATAATGATGTGTTGGAGTTGCTTTTACATCTTTGAATTTATTATACCCAGAAGAAATAGTTCAGGTTTGAATTCAATTTGTACCTTGGTTATCTCCTGTATCCAGTTCCTTATCCATTCCCAATAGCTCTTTGCTTTAGGGTACAGCCACCACATGTGATAGAATGTTCCTTTCTTATTTTTACATTTCCAACATTCCGGATTCATATTTGTGTACATTTTGGCCAATCTCACCGGTGTTAAATGCCATCTATAGAACATTCTGTATTGATTTTCCCTATATGCAGTTAACAATGTCAGTTTACAATTTATGTTCCATAATCTTTCCCATTCTTCCAGATTTATATTTCGGCCCACATTTCTCACCCATGCTATCATTGGCCCTTTTGCTATTTCTTCCTCCAGATCTACCTCTAATAAATATTTATAGGTTTTTGTTAAAAATTTTCCTTCCTTAACTGTTAAAATTTTATCCAATTGATGTGGGGTCTGGCCTATTCCATGCTCTTCCATATTCTTACTATGTTTAGATTGGATCTGTAAATATGGCCACCAATCTATGATTATTCCTTGTTCTTCTAATTTTTCTCTTGATTTAAGGTTTCCTTAAATTGTTGTCTAATAGTTCTTTGTATCTAATCATCTTTTTCTTATCCAAGGTGTTAGGGTGAATCATCGCCTCCATCGGTGAAATCCAATTCGGTATTTTCCTATAATGTCTTTTTTTAACTTTTTCCCACGTCTGAATCAGCGCATCTCTTATCTGATGTTGATAAAAGTATGTGTGTGTTTTCCTATGTTTCCCCCATAAAAAGGCATGCCAGCCAGCCTGTAAGTCATGCCCTTCAGTCATTAAAACTCTTTTATTGTCTAGGTTTATCCAATCTTTGATCCAGAGTAGTCCAGCTGCTTGATAATAAATTTCCCATTTTGGGAGCCCAAGTCCACCTCTACTTCTACCATCTTGTAATATTTACATGTTTATCCGTGCTTTTTTGCCTGACCAGTTGAATTTATTTATTATTTTGTCTAATTCTTCAAAAAAAAAAATCTCTAATTTTATCGGGACTGTTTGTAATAAATATAATAATCTTGGTAATGTATTCATTTTGATCAATGCAATCCTACCTAATAATGATAATTGTAATTTCCCCCAGGTCTCAAAATCTTTCTTCATTTGTAGTATCAATTTTTTATAGTTATCTTCTTTTATTGAGAAGCACCTTGTAGTAAGCCAGATTCCTAAATATTTGATCTTTTTTACAATTTGCAATTCCAGATTCTCTTCTAATTTCCTTTTCTGTTTTTTGGTTAGGTTTTTGACTAACATTTTGGTCTTTTCTCTATTAATTTTTAATCCTGCCACTATTCCATATTTTTCTATTTCTTTCATCAAAATCTTTCCTCTCTCTATTGGTTCCTCAATAAAAAGACCAAATCATCCGCAAATGCTTGTATCTTATACTCTTTTGTCTTAACCTGTAACCCTTTTATCTCCTTATTGGCTCTGATTTGCGTTAGCAGCACTTCTAAGGTCAAAATAAAAAGTAAAGGTGACATTGGGCATCCCTGTCTTACCCCTTTATTTATGTCAAAGCTTTTGGTATTATCTCCATTAATTATCACACTGGCCCTTTATGTTTTGTATATTGCCTTAATTATATTCTCAAATTTCCCTCCAAATTTCATGTCCTCAATCTGTTGGAACATAAATTGCCAACTGAGACTGTCAAATGCTTTCTGCGCATCTAAAAAAATTAGTGCTACCTGTTTTCCCGGATGTGCTTCGTAATACTCTAAGACATTTAACACCGTTCTCGTATTATTTCTAATTTGTCTTGTAGGTAAAAAGCCATTTTGATCTCGGTGTATTATCTCCTGTAATATTAGTTTCAATCTTTCTGCCATTGTAGTAGTAAATTTTTTTTAAAATTTTATTATTTTATTTTCATTACAATCATAAGAAAAAAAATTCAGATACATAACAAGTTAAAATACAACACACCCATTTCCGGCATTGCTCACCCATTTCTCCCCAAACCGCATCCCCCTCTCATCTTTTCACTTCCCCCTTCCTTCTTCCTCCTCACTCTCCTCATCTCCTCCCTCTCTCCTCCATCTTTCTACTTGCTTATCCCTCTCCTCTTCTTCTCAATTGGATGCGGTCTAGGGGAAAATGCCCGAGCAATCCTCTATCACCAAAAAAAGAAAAAAAAAGTCTTAAAAATATAAAACTATTCCTACTTATCTGAACTATTGAACATACTACCCATACTCTCCCGTCCCCCCTCCCCACACCGCCTTCTCCCCCCGCCTTCCCAGAGCTCAGTACAGGGTTACAAAAAAAAAAAACAAAAAAACCTAAACATAATCAACTTAAATTTACTACTTATACAATAACCAAAATCATAATAACCCTTAACTCTCTGCAAACTTCAATTCATAATTTAATAAAAATCCATTATTCATAAAATAAATGAAACTTTGTTGTTCCATACTTCTTCTGAATATATTCTATCCATCTTCTCCATACAGAAACATATCTCTTTTGTGAATGGTCCTTTAAATAAGCAGAAATTTTAGCCATTTCTGCTAAATTAGAAACCTTGAATACCCATTCTTCTAAAGAAGGCAGAGAATCTTTTTTCCAATACTGACCCACCAGTAGTCTTGCTGCTGTTATTAAATTCAGCATTAAAATAGTTTCTTTAACATCAAAATCCACAAAAATACCCAAACGAAATAATTGGGGAGTAAATTTAATTTTCCTTTTAAAAACCTTTTGAATGTTCCACCAAATCATAATCCAAAAAGCTTTAATAATTTTGCAAGTCCACCAAACATGAAAATAAGTTGCATCCAAGGAACCACATCTCCAACATTTGGGTTGCAAATTCAGATACATACAAGATAACATTTTAGGATCCAAATGCCATCTATAAAACATTTTATAAAAATTTTCCCTCAAATTTTGTGCTTGAGTAAATTTAACATTTACAGTAGTAAAATTTTTATAATCAGAATTTAGCAACGAAATTGGCCAATAATTTTTGATCTGTTTGGGGTCTATGCCTTTTTTGGGGGATCAGGGATATGGTAGCTTCTTTCCAGGAGTCTGGTAATTTAGCTTTCTCCAACACATCATTACACACATCCAACAATATCTTTTCAAAGTCCTCGTAAAGAGTCTTGTATACTTCCCCTGGGAGGCCATCTGGCCCCGGGATTTTATTATTTTTTTGTTTTTGCATCACAGTTTTTAATTCCAAGGCTGTTATTTTCCCATTCAAAATTTCTCTCTGTCCTTTTAATTCTGGCA